CTATAGGGAAACATACTTGAGAAATGTCTAGACTCTAGAAGAAGCGAATAATCTTGATAGTATACAAATTTATTGAACTCTGACAATTTTACATTATATTGGGAGAAGGTAAGTTTAAAAATTCTATACATTCATGAGTATTTAGTAGGAGTATCTAATGATTGATATGCTTAAACAATTTGATCGGTTTCAACATATTTGCTAACAGGAACAGTTTTTTTTGTGACTTGGCCAGCGTGCACTTACCGTACCTATTAAGTTCACTTACCTTATGATTGAATGTCGTGCAAAACAGTAATTAAAGAAAAGTAGCGAACGCTGGTGGGAACTAATAAATTATTTCTGGTTTTGTGGCAAATTTCATACGTGTTGCGTTTGTGTTAATTTACGCGAATCATTTTTCATTATCACATGTCTGCAAATCATTGACAAATAGCGTACATAAGTATGAAAGAATTATTTTCAAGAATTAACATTTGATAAGTGACAGTACTTTTGAATAATTATATAATTCTTTTAAGTGAAAAATATTACTTCTGCTTCAAACTTCTACTTGCAAGGAAGTAATTTACCTGCTAACGTTAAATTAAATTATAACTTTTATTTGAAATTACATTAGAAAATACACAAAATCAACGGATTGAATGAGGTACCATTGTATAAATATATTTCTATTCAATTCTACTTTAGTAACATTAATGTTATTTTTCCACTTATTTAAAATTTCCATGAATTTCCTTGTACTTATTAACTGATTTAATTCTACTTGCACACAGTGGCGGATCTGGGAGCATTTCTTAAGGGGGGGATAAAAGTACTTACATAACTACATTTTTCAACTTTCTTTTACAAGACTTAAAATTTGCCAGTAATTTATATTTTAATACAGTCGAACCTCGGTAACTTGAACTAAAATCTTCGAGTTATAGAGGCTTTAATTTACCGAAATTTTTAAGTAAAAATAATAATAAAAGTAAAAGTAAATTTTTTACCATGAATTATTTATTGTATAAATATATAAACGTAATCATAAAACGAATGCTAGATTATTATACTTGTTACAAAGGAGTTGAAAGAAAGAAAGGAGACAATATCGAGTGATTGGTTTGTGACATTTTGTAACATAGCTATAAACGTCGAGTTCCAGAAGCAGCGGCGACAGAAGTTCGACTTGTAGAGGTCTGGCTATTCTAAACTCCAGTTACAGAGGTGAAATAATGCATCTGGACATGTGGCTAGTAATTCGGGTTAAAGAGAGTTTCATTTCGACTTATAGAGGTTTTCACAACGGAGCAGAAGGCATTGAACAAAATTGCAGTCGAGGTTCGACTGTATCTCTATCCGATACTATAGCCTAAATAATGAAATTCACTTTAATTAACCTGCTATTAAATAATCTGTTTTGCAATTGCTGAGAGGAGACAGGGCAGGCTTGGAAAAGAGGAAGGAAGGAGAAAAAGACTGGAACCTAATTCAGAGTCAAATCCAAAGATATTTCCATAAATTACGCGCTATTAATCCAAAGAGATTCCCATAAATTAGGCGCTGTTATTTGAAGTGCAATAATCCGCATTATAATTTAATTTAATTTAAGTCTAAATCTAAGTTAACTTGAATAAAAACAAAAATGAAGATGTGAGTAGTGTAAGAGACAAAATAGCAATACATGTATAACCGGAAGCCCTCCTAAGCCGTAAGGCACGGAGTATGTATAATAAATAATTAAATAATCCGTTTTGTAAAGAAAACAGGTATAAAAGGTGTTAAAATTAATAAGATTAAGATACTACCAAGAACAATTTTATTTTAGAGTACAAATTCCATTCTACGTTTGTGAATTTTCACGAATCGATCTATAATACGGTCTTTGTTTAACTCTACATCGTAATGTGTATTTAACAACGCAAGTCTAGTGAGTCTATTTTCTGCTTTAGTTGACGTTTTAGTCTTCTTAAAGTAAAAAACGGTCTCTCTACACTTGCAGCACTTAAAGGTAGTGTAATTAAAATTTTTAGAAGAACATGCAAAGTAGGATACACATAGCAGTCACACAAATTTAATTACGCTATAAGAACTTGCCATTTCTTCCCCCGATTCGTAGTAGCATTGTTTCTAGACATTTTCAGGCGATACTCTGGAAACGTTCTGAAAACTTCCGTGCACTAAGCGAGCACGCCCACTAAGCATGCAAATCGTGAACAGCTCGGCAAATATATGTACATCGACAACACATTAAGCATATACCTAACAAGTTTTTCAGAATGTGACATAATATTTTTATATTTTATTACTGAGGGGGAGTCGCACCTATCGCTCCCATCTAGATCTGCCACTACTTGAACAATGAAATCAATTTAACATTATTACCTTAACAATTCCTTGAAGATAAAGACACAAAGTCGTCCACTAACCGATGTGTTTATAAACTGCAGTCGTGATTCTAAATGGTACAACAAGCTCGGGCTTGTACAATCAACGTAGCTATTTACGCTGGTAAAAATAATCATGTACAATAAGATGCGTCAATAAAGACGTTTTCGCATGAATTTCACACAACGTCAGTGGTACAACTCACGTGTTTCATACTACATGTATGAGCCTGAAACACCGAGAGATGCTTCTTTTAGATCGTCGTTATTCTTAAATCTATTATGCAATACTTGGTGTCAATGTTATTATCTGTTTCAACATCTGTGGCGTATGTAAAGGTTATTTTCAGAAGTACAAGAATACTAAGCATATTTTGTAGAAATATTTGTGAATGACTCGAAACTTTGCGTAAACAAGTAATATTTTCAGTGGAAAGTTAGTTCTATTTAAAAAAATACCAGATGTTATAAAGAATACAATTTTGTCAGCAAGCTTCTTAGACAAATTTTTACTAAATTACTTTCTACTTTGTGCTTCTAAATTGTTCAATAAGAAATAAAGTTTTCTTTTAAAAAGAAATTTCTCCTTTACTATAAAGTAAACAAAATACAATAAATAATATATACTGTTAGCTGATAAGGAGGTGATTTATCATAAGAACCTTTTCCATCGGTTTATAAACAATTCGATTAGTTTTTTATTATTTCCTTTTATTTTTATTTTTAAAATGATTACATACTTTTGTAACTTTTCTAATCGATTCTATTACATAATGCGATAATATAACTATTCGAGAGGCGTGCAGTTTCTTTATTTATGAAATATATTTCACGTACATGGTTACTAGAACATTTCAAATTAATATCTATTAGATACTAAACACTCTAGATAGTACAATAATACAAAGTACTTTAATTTATTTATTAAATACATCAATTTTTCGCTTTTTTCACTCGTATCTCTTACAGTAGCGCATTAAACGTCTAAACGAGTACATAGTATTTCATGTAAATTAATAATACAGATTATACAAAATACTTTAAATACGCTCAAATGGCAGACAGGGTCTCTAGTAAAAGATAAGAGATTTAGATAAAAGTTTAAAAAGGTCAACCTACAGATCTGTATCAAGCACAGTGTCGGCACTTTTCAATTTGTCCGCACGCTCTGCACTTAAAGTGCCATAAAATACGGAGGCGACAAAAAAGAAAAAGGGAACAAGGAAGATAGTACTAAATAGTAAGAAACCACAGTGAAGTATGAAGGACAACTCTGTCTACTCGTTAATTATATGAAATGTGCACCCAATGTATTTTCTTTTACTGCAATAATTGTTGAAATATGTTTTATTAAAAATTTCACTTGATTTACTATGATTTAGTACGTCTTTGTTATTAGCAAAATCGTACTTTAATATTAAAATTGAAAGAAAGGAAGCACCTAATGAAGAATATTATAGCTTTACAGTTTAAAAAAGTTTTACCATTCAATAATTGAAAGTGCAAAAATTCAATGTTAAATAACTTTATCGGATATGTATTATTTTTTATTTATTGTGCCGTTTGAAAATTTGATTTCTATAAAAGTATATTTTAGACGTAAAATATTTCAATAGTATAGCGTTTAAAAAATTAAAGTCAACAAAAGTTATTTCTATCACGACTATCCCTTTGTTAACACGAGTACCGATAAATAACCAATTATCTCTGCTTTACTCCAAAAGTTATTTAGTATTAATGAAATGAAAAATGATACAAATCTCTTTAATCTATAGCAAGTGTAATATAAATTCGACTAAAACGAATCTGAGTATTCTGAAAAATGTAGATATTAATGCTGTAAATAATGAGAAATTATAACTAGTCCACTATACAAACTAGAGTAATTTCTAGCAAACAACTCGAAAGTGAAGCGCCTTCGACGAGAAAAGTTGATGGGTTGAAGGTGGCGTGTTAAGGCGAAATCGAACCGTAGCTATTTAGCTGCCGCGTCTCAAATGTCAAGATCGCGGCGCCTTGTCCCGTAACCATGCATGCAACTTGATAAAGCGCCTTTCTTTCGTGTCGATCGTCTTTTGACTCTACCTTTGAGAGCCCCCAGCAAAGAAGGACGAAGGAAGACGAGGGGCGTGTCCGGTCGCGCGGCTTCTACAAAGAGATGCCCACTTCCCTGTGGACCCCTTCCACTCCTCCGAGATCCCTTCCACGTGGGCCTCAGGAGTCCTCCATCCCCACTATCGGGCCCTAAGAAAACTGAGCAGCATGGTCCAGACTATGAGATCGCCAGGTAAAGTCAGTTTACGCAACGCTTTCGTACGCGAAGCATACACGGTCATCCAGAGGATTCCAAGAGTCCCTTCGATTTCTTCGATCGAGCAAACATGGTATCTTGCGAAAAGATCATCCAACTCGCCTGAGAATGTTTTAAATTCGGGGATACCAACCGACAGTCACTCAGGGAATGAATGTTCGTATAGAGAAAAAAAATTTGAAAGTTATTAGGACCATTCGTTTATCTAAATGAGATGACAGTTGATTGAAGAGATCTTCCTTCGAAGAGTTCTAGTGCTATTAACAACATCTACGGTATATTGTTAAAACGAACAAAAGGATCAGAGACATTCTACGAGAATGACCACTTACATCAGTTTTCAACAGTACGATCTATTAGATTCCGAGGGTTACGGGTCCGCGAGTAGCCCAGAGTCGAATCCACGTAGCTGGACCCATCAAGAGATTTACCCTCAACCGCCAAGATCTAGGGGTAGCAGCTGCGAAAGCGTGAGTTCGCTCGATTGTCAGAATCGCGAATACCAAGAGATCGGCACCGCAAATGACAGCATTCACGTGACTACGACGGGCTTCAATTTTATCGAGTTCTACGAAGGCTACCATCAAGAGGGTTGCCGAAACGAGCATCAAATCAGCCAGTTAAATAATATGAAAATCACAAAGGATCATGGAAAAGCAGCCGTTTTCAGAATGAACGAATGCATCGAGAATGTTTACGACGGTGCATCAGGTCGGACTGAATTTTCCGCTGAAAATCTAGCGACAAAACAAAATCCAGACGTCACGTCAAAAATGGAACATCATGCGAGTAATACCTTCGGCAATGGCAGGTGTGACTTTGGTCAGAATCAAGAAAGCTTCTTCGTCACCAAAACTTATGGTATCCCGAAGGGTGATGGTTTCTTGCCTAAAAGTAACGACAATCCTTATATGCAGAGAGGTGACATTCTTTATTTGGGCGCCACATACAGTGTCCAGAGAAACGAAAACTACGTTCAGAACCAGCAGGGCAGCAAATGCGAGTCGTCCAGGTATCACCGAAAAAACGATGCTCTTCACATCTCGTCGATGGAGTACAATGGCCAGAAAACAAAAGAGACTATGCAGAAGATTAAAAACGGCACACCGGGCATCGAGGTGCTGAGGAAGAGACGATTGGCTGCGAACGCACGAGAAAGAAGAAGAATGAACAGTCTGAACGACGCATTTGATAGGCTCAGAGAGGTCGTGCCTAGCCTCGGTAATGACAGAAAGCTTAGCAAATTCGAGACCCTGCAAATGGCACAGACGTATATCGCCGCGCTATACGAATTGTTGCAAAGAGAGTGAACTGGTTAAGTATAAAGTTCGCGGTGACAACACTAAACATCGTAGCCAATCTTTTGTTAAACTCCTTTTTCGAAAAAATTGGAGTAGGAAAAATAAATATTTTTCTTGAATACGGATAACGAAAGAATCTACAAAAAGGCTCGAAACTGAAATAATATCTCACGTGAGTGAAGTCTTCACTTTCGAGGGAAGTCCCATGAAGAGACGTATTGAGGTTTCTTGGTGTTGCAATTGCACCGAGTTTTTCTTCATCAGTGTGCGAAATCTTTGACAAACTGTGAAGATAGGGAAGCTTTTCCTATTAATGAATATGTTGTATACTGTTGAAGACAAAAATGATCTTCTTCGGACGTAAATTGTCAGACTAACGGAGAACCGGAACATCAAGGCAAATGAGGTCGACAACCGAGACGGATAATCGAAATTTCCTTACACAATCTACGATGTTAATTGAAAGGGAGAAACAAGTGGTACGTAGGAAAAAGCATAAACATTATTAACGCGGAAATTTTCGAAAATTGAACAGAACCTTGAAAATTTTCTTACTCATTCGTAAAACTACATTTTTCGAAAGCAATCAAGAAGAGAATTTCAATTTCGATCTCGGCGGATAGTTCAATTAGCAATAATTGCGGCACGCAAACGCGATACACGTTACTGGTCACTAATGCTTTTTCCTCGTGCGGTCTTGTTGCCGGATTCCGAAACATTTTTCAGCAGATCGAACCGCGATAATATCGTTGATACGCGAAACGGAACGAGTCTGATGAACTTGGTAGCCTAGGAGATGCGACCGTAAAAGGGGGAGGATAGAAGATGCGGTATAAAGCATATTTAAAGCGGGTCGATTCAAGAAATACGTTGTTCACTTTGGTTAGAGGAACGGCAGAGCTTACAGTTTCATTGTAAATAGCGTGGTGTGCTAGCTGTAGGCTTCGTGTAAATATCTGATTAGACGCGACTAAATTATTGCGACGCTGTATAGATAATTGTGTACATATATAAATAGGTGGACAGGGATCTCTAGACCGTGTTGATCAATCCACGCGATTGCAAAAACGTAACATAAACGTCTCTACCCGTGTTGCACAACGATACTTCATTGTGAAATATGTTGCTAATTAAATTTACTTTGTTTTCTTTTTCTTTTTTTTTTGTTTGCTAAAGCACTATTTAACTTTCCCATGAAAGATTTCAAAATAATTTGAAGTAAATTGGAATACGAGCTTTACGAGATTAAATAACAATGTAAGGGTTAAAGTACCACGTTGATCATGAAAAACAACAAACTTCACAGTCGATTACGTTTTCCAGGCAAACCAAAGAATCTATAGACGTTAAGGGAGACACTACTATTTTCCAGATTAGAAATAACAACATGTACTAGCGGCAAAAAGTTTGGAATCGCTTATCGAACTTTATTATTATGTTGTACATCGGTTTTAAATTCAAATTGTAGGTACGCTTGTAATAGCAATTTACCTTATTTCCATACATATTAGTCTTAAGCAATTTTCAAGCTAATTTAAAATTATCGATTCGTTTGCCGAAAGTTCCTGTGTCCTTTGAAAACTTTTGACCGGCAGTATAGGTATACATCTTTGATGCGAGGATTACAAAATTTCCACGTTTCCCTGATATGAACGTAATTAGTTGATGCGCAGACGTAATAAAGATACAAGAACGAAGCCACGTTTTAAGGTTTCCTTCTCACGATACGGGTGCGTCGAAGTCTTATTCGGCTGCGATCAGCGGCAATGTTTCTCTCGCAATTAAGGATATGCAAAAATCGCAGGACAAATGGTGGCGGTCGATCACCTCTATTTAGCAGTCAATCACAATTAAATACAATTTTGCGCGAGCTTCAGGGCTCAGTAATGGCACAAAAAGAGAGCAAATTGAAATCTCCTAGCTGACAGAATGATAGATCGTGCTGGCCAGTCGCGAAAACACCGAGGACAAGAAAGAAAGAGAAGAGAGAAACAGGGGTAGAGAGAAACAGGTAAGGAGGGAGAGAGAGAGAGAGAGAGAAAGAAGAGACGGAAGAGAGTTACCTTCCCCGAGCGCTGTGAGAAAGCAGCCAAGAATCGCGAGGCCGAACGGAAATACAAAAGTCGAACCGCGGTTGATGCTAGTACCGCTGCACCAGGTCGATTTCTCCGACTAATATCGCTAATCCTCTTCATGTGGAGAAATTGACAATCCTATCTTTCCAGACAACACTGGTTGTATGAACTGATAGAACAACGTTCCGACCGCTTTCTGCTAATTGCAATCCGTCGTGACTACGTGAAATCCTTAGAGTCCATTATCATTGTTTTATCTTTATGACTTATTGTTAGACAGAATGCGCCAACTTTTAGCTAGGCCTCGTTAGAAATTGTGTTTTGAAACACTTGCGAGTAGCTTAGCGCCTCGTGTGCCAAGCAGATTGCTTATGTGCAAAAATTGTCACAAATGCACGATTACAGAAAAATATCTGCACCTCTCGTGAATTTTGAAGGAAGTTTTATTAAATACTTATAGATTATTACCTTTACTGTACGTAAAACTATAAATAAACTTTCCAAATTTTTGCAGAAGCACAAAATATAAATATGTATAACATTATGGAAAAATTCAAATGCAGACTTTCGTTTAAAAAATATACACTACCGGCCAAAAGTTTGGAATCACCGAGCTTTGCAATTTACACAGAAATTTCCAGAAAAAAGTCAGCGACTTTGAGAATTTTTTATCGTTCGAATCAATCGATATGAGATAAATTGACAAATGTCGAATTGAGATAAACTTCAAATCTATAAAAAGTTAGCAGCAGATTTAATATCGATGAAAAGTGGTAGGTGATACCAAACTTTTGGCCGGTAGTGTAGCAAAGAGGAATTAATTTTCATTGACATTATCATATTCGACATTTTTGACTGAAGCTACTATACCTTTCTGTGAAGTGAGAAAATATAAAATATGTAATTAACGGATACAACACGCCATTAGCTGTATAAAAATATAAACCGATCTGCGAATTGATCAGTTTTGCTGTATTATGTGAGAAAGAGCGAGCGCGACAGTACTCGTATCCCTATGGATAAAAAGGAGCGCAATCGTGCTCCTTACCAATTTCGTAGATGTCAGTCAATTCAGTATGTCTAGATTTCAATTGGAAAAAGTTCAAGAAATAGTATTTGTGTGTTTAATCTATGGATCACAAAAGTTTAATAGTTATTAAAGAAAACTGTATTTCTTTTAACATAACATGTTTACGCTGATACTACTATTGTAAGTGCAGATGAAACAGAATACAAGAAATGAAAAACGCACGAGCCTTTATAAAACGTAACTAAAACTGTATGTCGCATTATCGTACGTGCTCAATTAAACCTTAAAAATTAATGCTTACCGACCAAGTAGCTCGAAGGTAATACCGGCGATTAATCGTGACTCGAGTAAAGGAAAACCGGCAACTTTGAGCTTAGTACAAATCTATTTCCACGTATTAACTACCTCAATTAAGCCGATAGAAATTAATGCAATTCATTCGTCGATTAGAGAAGAAATTTTAATTATTCGTTGATTCGTTCACAAAGAGGGAGATTATCGTGATATGCGGACAGCTAGAAGGGATAAGAGCTGAAGGAGGGTAATATTAAAGATGAAAATTACGAACTCCCCCTCATTCTCTGAGGCTAGTGTCCACAAACAATTGCACACAGAAGGTGCTAATCAGTCGACCTGCAACATCTTCATCTGCACCGGAGCACGGAACACATCAGACCGCGTTTCGCCATTGCAGTAACACTATTTGTCTTCCGTTCAGGATTTTGCACGGCTGAGCAATGAGAGGATACTTGATACGCTTCAGGTTCTCTGTAACAGCTACATGTTATATCGTGGAAAGGAGAAGGCAGCCGTGGCAAGGGAGGAAGAAAGTAGAGTAAAAGAAAATGACTTCCGACTAGCTCAGGCGATTCTGATAACGTAGACAGTTTATTATTAGCCGTGGAAGAAAGTGCATTTGTTACGCGAGGTTTTGTTTATTCGTGTAAGTACATGTAGCGTGTATGTAATCAAGCGAACAAATATCGCGCACAAAGCATCACCCTAGTGGAACGTTCAGACACTTTAGATAGAGATGTCTTCTCGAGACAATTTCTAATTAATTCGTTTGACAATTTCCCGAATGATTCAGCAACTATTGTATTTCAATTCGTTTCAAAATTTGTTGCGTGATTTTTTGTACTCAACGACACCATCGAATATGATGTAACTAGATTAGAAAAGCATCTTTCACCGAAAGCCAATATTTATAGTTTTAAAAATTAACTAAAAGATTGCCCTCATTTTCGAATTATATTTCGTCGTTTCCATTTATTACCGAGATGATATGCGCGGTTCGTTTCTTCTCGCGTGCTCCTCTTAGGCGATATTATCATAACTCGCTTCTAATTTGCAGACCAGCTATGAGAGAAACGTAGAAGAAACTGAGAGGCTCCTTTCGAACGGCGCTCTTTAAATTACGGTGTTTTTCAAAAGTATTGGATGGAGATATGAAAAACGATCCAACTATCGTTACAGAAAACCAACTTTAGTCGAAAGACGAAAATTACATAGTTTGTAGAAAGCGAATTTTTTAATACTGCCATTGAGTACCTTTGTAAATCAATCACATGTTTTGTACGTTGATATGATATTAAGTGATAGGCATAATTTAAAAGAGGTTCCCTTCAGGTAGATAAAAGCAGATTCCCACCAATAATGTTCCTCTGTCGAGACCAAATGTATTTAAGAATGTGCAATGTTGAATAAAAATCTTTTGAAAAATCACAGATTTTTCTTTTTTTTTCACTTATCCTAATATTTGTATATATTTCTATGAGTTACATTATGTTTTATACAGCGCGTATTGCCGGTAGTACCTACATACACTACCGGCCAGAAGTATCGATTGATTGGAACGATACAAAATTCGTTAAAAAATTCTTAAAGCTGCTGACTTTTTTCTC